TCGCCCCCTTCTGCAGTGCCCTGGAGGCAGGCTTCTGGCATCAGCTCACACAGAAGAAGCTCAACGACTTCCGCTTAGACGAGAGCCCAAAAAACATCAAAGGCTACTACTATAACGGTGAGCATGGGGAGTGTAATCATGAAAGAGGTGTTTCTGCTGGGATTTGACACCGGTAGAATACACCAAATAATGATCTTTAAAATAGCATCATGACCCCTTTAAGTGCTAGACTTCTGTCAGAGCAGATTGCTTAGATCCTGAAAATGAAAGCAACTTTATTGTTGATGATTTTAGATTTGTCTTTCTAAATATCTAATGCCATATTCAGCCTTATCTTCATGTACATATATTGTACTGTGGTTGAATCTGCACGTATTCAAGTTTTAAGATCTACTGTATGTCATTCTTCGATTAGACAAAAAGCAAAGGCATCCCCCCAAAAAATAGATTATAATATCAAACTTCATTTCTGGATAACACAGCGTAGTGGAGTCATGTGACAACAATTCACCATACTGCTGTTTGAAACACAGTTAACGGGAACTAACAATGAAAAAAAGCATTTTTTTATCTCAATTCATGTTCATTTGAACTTTTTCTAATTAAAAGCAAAAGTTGTATCTATTAATATAATTGAATGGATCTGAACTAAGATGAACTAACAATGAATAGTTCATTACCTAACAATAACGAAGATTAACTATTGCGCGTTGTTAGTTAATGTTTGTTAATGCATTAACTAATGTTATCTAACGGGACCTAATTGTAAAGTGTCACCGAAATGTTTCGGTCGTGTGTGGATCGTGTAACAATCCAATAAAGACGAAGAAGAGTTTAATAATATTTAATCAGCCAACTATCAGGGTGCAATCCATGTTATCCACATTAAACATAGACGAGACCAGACAAACACTGGGAGCAAACACAGGGTTTAAATAAGACGGAGGACTAACGAGATAGTTAACAATGACAGGTGAGAGAGCGAGCTAATCAGACACACGAGGGAAAACTAGGTCAAACAGGGAACACATCCAAAACCAAAACAGCTCTAAACAAACGCGGCTGGATTTTGATGTGAGAGACAACAGGAAATGGAATTTTTCACTGGAGGAAGCGCTATCATGGATTATGGACTCGTATTTTTGTTAAAAACGTGTTAATGCTGGATGTGTTTCAGCTTTTGTCTTCTCCAGATGTTAACTGCTGGACTGGAGTGCTGTGGATTACTTGTGGATTATTGTGATGTTTTTATCAGCTCTCATTCTGACGGCACCCATTCACTGCAGAGCATCCGTTGCTGAGACACTGATGCAGTGCTACATTTCTCCAAACCTGATGAAGAAACAAACTCATCCTGATCTGGGATGCCCCGAGGATGAGCACATTAGGGCTGTCAAAAGAATTTCGAATATTCGTCGAATTTAAAATAAAAATCCACATTCGAATGCAAAAACGTTGCATTCGAATTTTAGGTGTGTGTCAGGCAGTATTATCAGGGGTGCACGAAATGCGACGACGATGTAAGTGTCATTGCATTTTAATGTTTTTGTTAGTCTATCCAGTTGAAGCCACTAGATGCGGCGCTGCTACGTTGTTCATTTAAAATATTGCAGAAAAAGAGAACAATCAATGCTGGGAAGATGCTGTTTACGTCAATACCGAAACCAAGCTGTTCACACAGAACGCATTTTTGAGAGAGAGACATCTATCAGCGTTGCACTCGCAGAGAGCGGCATGTTTAGAAAGCTATGTAAAATGAATGTAAGTTCATCTTTTAAGAAACATGTCTCAAGACTTTATGGCGGTTTTCCCCATCCCACTGCATCTCAAGTTTTTAAATGAAGAAAGTACTCTTTGTGATTGTTTTTTCCCCCCCGGTCCTTTGTATTAAACTATACATTCATGCATGATGCTGTTTTGTTTCTAATTGTTTAAGCAACTTTATTAATTATATAAGGTTTATAAACATTATTTTAAACATTATGATCTTTTTTTCAAAGATAGTCGTGTTATTTTATTACGCTTTGAAGAAACGTGCATAATATTTTGTTCGATGCGCTGTCTTGTGGCCTCAGGAGAGAAGCCAAAACTTTTTTCCCCCTAACTGAAATTATGCCTTTTAAATTCGAATATAATTCGAATATTGATAATATTTCAAATTTAGTTGTTCAGCCATTTTGACAGCCTTAGAGCACATATTTAGTTTTTCGGTGAACTATTCCTTTAAGTAAGTGCATCAGCTGGGTTTTTGAAGTGGGACGCACCTAATGACTGAGTTTAAATGCTAGGTTTTTGCGCTGAAATATTGTGCACAAAAGTGCCGTTTGGTGTTTTGTTTAGTGATTTTGTCCCAGAATGTGTTTCACAGTGTGAATGCATATTGCATTTGCATATACTAAATTAGAAATAATTTCTGGACATGTCAGTTTAATTATTACTGGTAATGTTGTCTTCTTCTTCACAGATTTGGAGCGTTATTCAGTCAGGGGCTGCGCTGGAAGACTCCTCAATACTAAACAAATTCATCCTCTTGACATTTGCGGTTTGTATGCCAACATTTTAGAAAATGTCTTTTTAGATTAATGTCCTTGCAGCCATTTGTTTCTGACTGGTCCTTTTGTTTATCCAGGATCTGAAGAAATATCATTTCTATTATTGGTTCTGCTTTCCTGCCCTTTGCTTTCTGGAGGGGGTCCAGCTGGAGCAGGAGCCGGTGTCATTAGAGCGCAGTTTCTCTGCCAAACAGGTGCGGAGAAGAGCCCGCGTCGATAACTCACTTCTGACGAGGATGCTTTGTGTGAAGGATAACGAGCCATTAGTCAGTGCATTGTGGAAAGCATGTGCTGATTAGAATGTTTATGCATTTGAATGCATAATGTCATATAGGCCCTAAGATGACTGATGTGCCGTATACAGTAGCACCAAGGAGTATTTGGAAACCTGTTCTGTTAAAATGCTTTCCTCTCTGTATTTGAGCTCCAAGTAAGAAAGTGAAGATGTGTTATTGTATTACCCTCTTCAGTTCAATTCAAAATTAATTTGCAGTATATACATTTCCTTGAATTTATTCCATCGTAATGGCATTCACTAAATTCAAATGGCATCCTGTTCGGCACCTCGATTCAAGTGATTTTTCGTTCTAAATGGCACACTGTCCTTCTTTACACCAGCTGTACATTTAGAGTGCATTTCAGTTCTTGCCTAACTATTTTCCAACCAAGTATAAACTTTCATTTCATTGTGTTTCATGAGTTAATGAGGTGGGCTGATTGCTTTGCATTGATCTGTTTCACAGATATCAAGCCTGCAAACGGCGTATGATGATCTCTGCACCTCCAGCGGTACGACGGCAGTCCCACATTTTCTGCTCAAGTACACCGATGAAAGTGTTGAAGTCGCTCCTCTAAAAGACTTGAACTCCTTCTTCCCAGACCTAAAGAAGGTGATTTCCAGTATAAAGCTGGATTATTACTAATGGAATATTGCTAATTCTGTCAACAACATTTGAGGCTTGCTCTAGATTACCATAATTATCAGAATTTGTGTTCTGTTGGTGTAATATGGCATGTGTCCTGGTTTGTTTTGAAGATTACTGTGGGTGTGTATGACCCATGCACACTGCCTCAACATCCTGGCTGGCCTCTCAGAAACTTTCTCATCCTCCTCGCAAAAAAATGGTACGTCTGTAATGAGCTTTTCCAACCTTTCCTGCCCTTTGCTTTCTGGAGGGGGTCCAGCTGGAGCAGGAGCCGGTGTCATTAGAGCGCAGTTTCTCTGCCAAACAGGTGCGGAGAAGAGCCCGCGTCGATAACTCACTTCTGACGAGGATGCTTTGTGTGAAGGATAACGAGCCATTAGTCAGTGCATTGTGGAAAGCATGTGCTGATTAGAATGTTTATGCATTTGAATGCATAATGTCATATAGGCCCTAAGATGACTGATGTGCCGTATACAGTAGCACCAAGGAGTATTTGGAAACCTGTTCTGTTAAAATGCTTTCCTCTCTGTATTTGAGCTCCAAGTAAGAAAGTGAAGATGTGTTATTGTATTACCCTCTTCAGTTCAATTCAAAATTAATTTGCAGTATATACATTTCCTTGAATTTATTCCATCGTAATGGCATTCACTAAATTCAAATGGCATCCTGTTCGGCACCTCGATTCAAGTGATTTTTCGTTCTAAATGGCACACTGTCCTTCTTTACACCAGCTGTACATTTAGAGTGCATTTCAGTTCTTGCCTAACTATTTTCCAACCAAGCATAAACTTTCATTTCATTGTGTTTCATGAGTTAATGAGGTGGGCTGATTGCTTTGCATTGATCTGTTTCACAGATATCAAGCCTGCAAACGGCGTATGATAATCTTTGGGCACCATTCACTCACAGTGTTTTCTTGTATTCGAAACCAGATAGTGAATACGGTTTGATTAGCTAATAATTTTTAAGAGGAGAAAAAAATACTCGACTATTTGATGATCACATGACTTCAAGGAGTAGTTCATCCAAAAATGAAAATTAGCTGAAAATGTGCTCACCCTCCGGCCATCCCAGATTAGGATGAGTCTGTGTCTTCATCAGGTTTGTAGAAATATAGAATTGCATCAGTGTCTACGCAATGGATGCTCTGCAGTGAATGGGTGCCGTCAGAATGAGAGCTGATAAAAACATCGCAATAATCCACACCACTCCAGTCCAGCAATGAATTATTAGCATGGGTGAACTATTCTTGGAAGTCATGTGATCGTCAACTAGTTGACTGGTGGTAACAAACTGGAATGGACCGCAGGGATTTTGAAACCTGTTTTAGAAGTTGAACTGTTGCTTAAACGATGACTGTTTTCAAAACCTAATGTCACTTGAGACGCATAAAAACAAGCAAAATATGATACAGTGGCCAAAGACGTATTGTATGTCTGATGCATTCGTACAGTTAGGTTGAACTTCAGTCAGTGTAGCTGTAGGCATGTGTTGCATTATATTTATGTGTACTAATTTGTTTATGCAGTATGTCCAAAGAGTGTGGGTTGGGAGAAGAACGCTAAAGGTGCGATGGGACCTCGAAGTGTCAATCTCAGTGAATGCATGGACCCTAAAAGGTACGAAACACCTGGCGTCAGTCTATACACTTTTTAAATGGTTTTCTCTATGGTATGTGACACATTTCGTTCATTTCCTCAAGGCTTGCCGAGTCTTCTGTCGATCTCAACCTGAAGCTGATGCGTTGGAGGCTGGTCCCGTCTCTGGATCTGGATAAGGTCGTGTCCACAAGGTGTCTGTTGCTGGGAGCTGGGACTCTGGGCTGCAATGTGGCAAGAACACTGATGGTATGAGCCATTTGATTTACATTTGATTATCAACAGTTTATCGCATCTGGCAGGTGTCAAAAAAGCTTTCATTGCCTTCAGTATGGATTTCTTGGCTTGCTTTATGTCATTTAAGTGCTTACTTGCCTTTGCCATAATCACTTCTTAATGGTTTTTTAAATAGTCGTAAGCCTAAGACTGTAATTATAGAAAGTAAGTCGCAGATGCTTCTATTTCAAAATGATAGTGGTGTCCCTGAGATGTTGGCGGTATGAAAATCAAATTGCATTCATGTCAGTTAATTGCAAGAGTAAGAGTGTTTTTACATTTGGTTCCAACAGTGGTTCGCAAGAATTTTGGCTTATACTGTATGTGAACGCACCAAATGAACTCAGACACTTTTATAGCATTATAGCAATCTTTCAGTGTTTCATCAAAGTGAAAGAATTACTACTGAAATATATTACTATAACTTTAGGATAATATTCTAATAACTAATTTAGGAGTATTATCAGTGTTATTACTAATAATAACAGCAGTAAATAGGAATATAAAAACATAACTCATTCAAAATTGAAGTGGTCCAGATTTCAAATATCCGAAAGTGGTCTCACACCAATTCACAACCGAGTCAGAGACAGTTTGAAAGCAAAGAAAGCTTTTTACCTAATTTCACTTGCCTGAGTTTTGTTTGTTTAAAGAGCAACTGAGTGTGAAAATTTTCACGAGCGCTATCTTTGCTTTTTTCACACCGGTTTATTTATTTATCCTTTATTTTTACTGGTTTACTGGTTTCAGAGGAATTGTGCAAATCAGGTAATGGTGCAAACATGGCAACAAAACAACAAAAATGCATGGACACTGTATCAAGTGTGCTTGGCAACACTATGCCTCTAATGATCTGCATTATTTAACTGCTTAGAAAATGTACACAAACATCCCCTTTTAATAAAATGACATTTAACTGGAAAATAGTGCAAACTTTTGTCAATAAAGCACAAAAATGTATAAAACAGGCGGTGTGTTTGTGTAATTTAAATGCACATAGCATACAGTATCACTACAGCATCTGCTTCAGCTGGATTACGCTGAAATACTGCCAGTGGCAGAAAAGATTAGTTAATTTTTTTCCGAATGTTTTCCGTTCTTTTTTTGAGGGCTGGGGTGTGAGACACATCACTTTCGTGGACAACGCGAAGATCTCCTACTCGAACCCAGTGCGGCAGCCGCTCTACGAGTTTGAAGACTGTCTGAGTGGAGGGAAGGCTAAAGCTCTCGCCGCGGTGGACAGACTGAAGAAGATCTTTCCTGGCGTGGTGAGGACTTTGAGATGCTACAGTTGCATGTTTTCCATTTTTCACTGCATATTAGACCAGGGGTCTCAAACGCAAATGCTTGAGAAGCACTAGGCAGTTACAACAATTACAAATGTTTTACACAGTGGTGGACAGCAACAAAGTAGTTTTACTTCGTTACTGTACTTAAGTACATTTTTCAAGAATCTGTACTTTACTGGAGTAGTTTTATTTTGAGTACTTTTTACTTCTACATTTCATAAAACATATCGTTACTCCTTACAATATATCACGTGCTCCGAGACGCAGAAGCGGTGTCTGATTCATGAACGAACTGATTCTTTTCAATGAACCTGTTAAATCGGTTCGCAAATCGCACCAAACGATAAATTCACGAATTGAAATGATCCGATTGCAGCTGTTCTCGAGTCGACACCTCACTGATTCAAATGAACCGTTTAGAGCGAGTCTCCAGTGAACTGAATTCACAAGTAAGAACCGGGCGCGTGCGCGTCTGATGCTGCTTAAAGTAAGTTACTAATGTCGAATTTTAGGATTAATTATTGCAACTGAAAATCATATTTAGGCCAAAGCTGTCAGTTGCTTGTGAACTAAATCTGCTGTAAAGGGTGATCTGTTTAAGCCCACTGAAATGCTTGAATGCAGACACATCAACATCAGAGTCTCTATGTTTTAGGTCAAAAAACATTAAAATAACACAGATTAAATAAAATAACTCATGCATGTTCATCTTCCCCGCTGCTGTAACGTTAGCAGTTTTACTAAAATGCTATGCATTTAGCCCTATGTGACGTCTGTTTTTATATTGTTTGTCAGCACACATAGCCTAAGTTACTATGTATCTGGATCAGCTAGCTGAGTAGACAAATATAAATGTTTATTCATAACCATGCTGAAAATAAGTCAATAATGTTAGCTGATAGCTAGCGAGCTTGCTGGTGCTAAATTGAGTATGTTAAGTCCAAATATTTTTATTCAACCACCTAGATAGATTACATCTGAGGGAAAAAGAAAGGATGCGATGTTCAGAACATGGTAACTACAGTAATTATCAAAGTGGGAAGTGATGCCCTCTGGGGGCATTTGGCCAGGGGTGTTTGAGAAGAAAAAAATCATTATGAAAATATAATTATATTTTCCTTATTATATTCATTATTTCCATATTGGTTATTTTGGGAAAATCCCAGGTATTTTGAGCAGTAGGATTATAAAAAAATAAATGCTAGTATAAAATTAAGTGATAAAAGTAGCCTATATAAAACTGCTAAATAATTATTTTGGGAAAATCCCAGGTATTTTGAGCAGTAGGATTATAAAAAAAGAAATGCTAGTATAAAATTAAGTGATAAAAGTAGCCTATATAAAACTGCTAAATAAATCTGAAAACTGAGTACTTTTACTTTTGCTGGAGTAATATTTTATTATACGGATCTGTACTTTTACTCAAGTACTTGATTTGTGTACTTCGTCCACCACTGCTTTTACAACCATATATTTGAACTGTGTGTAATTATTGGCACAGTTAAGCAACCCATCCCTCCCTCACACCTAGCAGACTGATCTGTGTGTTTATTGGACTAATGATGCCTGAATAAACATCTGAGAGGCTGTATGAACCTATACTGTGCGAGCCGTTAGTTTGAGACCCTTGGATTAACCAGTAGGACTCAATTTCAACATGCAATTATCCACAACAATGAAGTCTGAATTATTCATTTTAATATTGATGAATGTTATTTGGCTGGTCTGCAGATGGACTGAGAAGCTAAACAATGTGTTTGACCAGTCCAGGTCACTGGTGTTCATTATCTGAGGAGTCTCATAGCATTGTTCATTATAACCCATGTTCATATGAAATGCAGCCTCATTTATATTCACTGCTCAACGGTCCTCTCATGCATCACTGAGCAGAGCGCGAGGACCGGCTCTTATGGCTTCATGCAGAAGCACATTTCCTTTTCTGTTTTCACTGCAGTTGATCAGTGAACTCCCAGACTCAAGTCTGAACATTTAAGTTTATATTGTAAAAAAGAAAATAATTCTTAATTGACTTGCCTGGATAAATAGAGGTAAAAACAACAAATGACCAAACAAGGAACTTCATGTGCAGTGGAGCTGCGCTGGTTTGTCTGAGCAGCTAGTTGGTCGATGTGAAACTGAGCTATAATCGTTGCTTTCAAGGGGATGCATTTTGAGATGTAATCTTGTACATGAAATTCACACGTGCTGTGCTTGTTTTTTTTTTTGTGTGAATATCTTCAGTAGGGTTGGTCTGTATGGTTTTAAGTAGGGGTGTAAATCAGACGGTTCATCATGATATGATCTGATATCGATTCTCATAGCCAAGTTCGATACGATATTTACTGATACCTCAAAAAATGTTGTGATTGCCTATTTTACACAATCAGCTACATTTTTATGGACTCACAAATGCAGCCAATATATGTTACATCAACATTTAATTGAATTTACACTAGGGCTGTGCGATTTGGAGGAAAAGATCAAATTGCGATTTCTTTGACAGATATTGCGATTGCGATTTGATTTGCGCATTGCCCATTTTAAATTTGCAAAGTCAAGCTTCAGCTCAATATTGTCAATAATGTGCAGCACAGTATGGGTATCATTACCCTGCTGAAAAAAACAATAGAAACCATCACAGAAATTCTTATAGTTTCCATTAAACCATTACAAAATTCCTTTTTGTTTTGGGCATTATTCCAAAGGAATTACTGTTGTTCTATCGGTTCCCATCTGCCAGATTACATCCCACCATAGAATCCATCAAATAGACACCATTATAGTTTACATTAAAACCAATACAATTCCCATTATAACCTGAAATCCATTACATTTGTTATTGTGTTTTGGGAGGGGTTCTATTGTTTTTTTTCTTCAGCAGGCACGACTATAATGGTATAACTGCTTTTACAGAATTAACTGAATTTCACAGAAAATATTTGTTTATTTTTTATAAATAAAGAACTGTATTTCTTAAGTCAATTATTAAAGTATTAGGATTTTAAGAGCAAGTGGAAAATGTGCTGAATGTTTCATTTCATCCAAGTGAAATTAGCAAGCAGTTAGACTGAATTTACATTCGTTTTAAACGCGGAGCCATGCGCACGTGCGTCAAGCCTCATCCATACTGCCAGATGCGCTCGTGAAGACTTGCGGTGCGGAGCC